TGAGGATTACCTGTTGTGATCCCTCCCTCTGGGGCATCTGGTATTGGACACTGCCAGCAGACAGGATACTAGGCTAGATGGACCTTTGGTCTGACCCAGTATGGCTGTTCTTATGTTCCTAATTTTTTTTCTAGGAATCTACAAAGGGAAAAAAAGGTTGAAAACCACAGGTCTAGTACTTGGTGGGAAAGCAGATGGAAAAAAACCAAGACACGCCAGAGTTAGTTTGTTAGTCCTTACAAAGCAATTGATATTTCGAAAATGCACTGGAGCAAAGAACGTCCTTTTTTCTTCAGAGATAGTAGTATTTTTTTATTATGGGTTGTTTTAATACAAACAAAAAGATATTTGCATTGTGTCTTCATCCTTCAATTGGATCCATGTGGACATATATTATCCACTCTTATTACTGGCATCAGGCTTTGGAGAGGGTTATAATTTTCACCTCTCCTAGAGCCCTTAGATCAGGGCTACTCAATATGCGACCCACGGACTGTTTGTTTGCAGCCTGCAGTGTGGTTTGGCTTTACGCAGGGCTCAACACGTGGCCCGCGGGTGGGATCCTTTGAACATGGCCTCCATTGGGAAGATGCTCTACAATGGGCATGAGGCACCACCCAGGCTGGGCGAGCACTGAAAGATGCAAGCGGATGGGCTGGCTGGAACAGATTGATACAGGATGCCAGCATTCCTAGCCCACAGGGAGGAGGTGCAGGGAGCACCAGGGCATTGTGGGAAGTGCTGGCTGCTTAGCCTTATGGGCAGAGCCTTAGAGATGCTGACTGGCTGACAGTGGCCACGTTTGGGTCCAGTGCTGTGGCTTAAGCTTTGTATTTGTGCCTTTCAGTGTGAAAGAAGCTACTTGCATATATATTTGCATGTCTATGCAACCGCACTTAAGTTGCAGCCTTTGGCATGTGCTGTGTCTTTGTGGCCCCCCCAGAGCTTCCAAAGCTGAGCAGCCGGCCTTAGCCCCTAACTTCCCCTTTCATTAGCTTTTGGGGGGGCCCCAGCTGACGACAAAGGGAGACAAGCGCGTTAGGAAGCCCCACTCTCTGGCCCCTGGGCTCGGACAAGGGTCTCTCGGGAGCGCCTCGCCCCCCACGGGGCACCCCC